TAAGTGGTGTAAATGAATGGAGTGGAGGACCCACAAATTCTATGGTGCCACAACATGATGTGGCACATTATGATTGGTGTCACAACTATCACACATCATGTTGTGGCACCAATCATAATGTGCTGCATCATGTTGTGGCACCATAACACGTGCCAAATGTGGCACCGTAGAATTTCTGGTGGAGGACCAGTATATAATACTCAAAAATGTTCTTGAGTTTTTATTGAGCTCATTTGCTAATGAAATGATCGGTTTTGCTATAGAGTCATTGCATTACTCAGCTTATAAAGTCATCCATTGTTATTTACAAATGATGTAACGACACTTGTTCTACAATAAATGCACATTATACGTGTGTCTTAAAACGTATAGCATAATGCATCGCGTTTTGGTCTTTGTACTATGCACTGTAGATAGTCATGCGTGTTGCATAACCTATTCAGTATAAATCATTACTTTTAAAATAATAGTACAAATATATTTGCATATAATAAAATTGGATGGTAATTCCAAAAATTATCATAATATTCGAATGAATTCAAAAATAACATCTAACAATTATTTCTCACAAATGTTTAATGTACATATCATAATATATATATATATATTTATTTAAAGCAAACATACTAATTATAATGAGGTAAGTCATAGTTTAATTTTAATTATATGCATTTTAATTACTATTCTTATTTAAATCCAATATAGTTTTAAACACTATATATGAAATTTTTATTTTTTATTTTAAATATTAAATATAAAAATTAGAATGATATAATAGAAATGGATCGATAAATATTGCACTATGCAACTTAGGACTTTACGTTTCAAATTCAAACAGTTAATTTAAACCGATTATCAAAATTTTTAGTTTTTAGTTATCATTTGAAAATATGATTCTAATCCCTAAATAATATGAGTTTTGAAATATTTTATTGTTTAAATGTCGTTGCAGAAATATAGCCCAATGTAGCGCACAATAGCGTGAAATAACACAAAACAACGTAAAAAGCGTGTCATTTCATCATTCGCCTAAGCTTTTTGAAAAAAACGCTAAATATATAACGCCATGTCGTGTTCTTTTTTAAGCTACATAGCGAGCTATACAAAACAATGCTTTAGATCATCTATCTATCTATATATATATAAAGAGGGAGTTGATGGAATTTATTGCTAAATAT